TTCGTGGCGACAGTCCCTTGGACTCGGCGGGGAGGCCCATCCAGACAGATGGCCAAATGACTCGTTACTTCGTAGCTCTCTATGAGCGTCGTCATTGGATTGTCGAGTCGAGTGTGTTAATGGGTCTCCATCCTGACGTCAACCCGGCTGCCACGCCCGCCCAGCTTGATGAGGTATATGAACTGTGGCTGGTGTACAAGCGCGAGCGCAAACGTCGTAGTGACACCTTGCGATCTTTGGTTGTTGCTGTCTACGACCAGCTTTACTCGGCGGTCACTCAGAAGCTCGGCGATGAACCTGCTCCACTGGTGGACGCAGAGGTTTATTTTGATCCGTCCGTTCCCCATTACTCTCCCGTTAACCTTTCGTGGGTTCCTTCCGGGAGAGACTGGGTCCAGTGTGCTCACGATGTGGATCTAGCCGAGCCCTGGCGAGCTTGGTGGCTTACTGACCCGGCGGTCCATCCGTACAATACTTGCTTCCGCGCTCGGAACGTGGACTTCTTGGTTTTCGCTCCGCGCGGTATGGATCCTCAGGTTGTTGACGACGCGATTGAAGAAGATTTCGATCTTGCTGAACAAGCGCTTCCTGCCTATGCCCCGGGTGCTCCAACTCGGCTGAATCGTCAAGGCATCCATATCTTCACTGGGTCTTCGATCGGTGAGCTCAGCTCTGATGGCGAGAGTGCGTCTGATGACGACTCGGCGGACGATGGGTTGGGTTCTCCCAATCTCCGAGGCGCGTCTCCGAGTATGTCTCCGTTCGGCACCCCACTCCCCTGTGGAACGGATCCTCAGCCCACTTCCGCCGCGTCGGGTCCTGAGGCACCTGGTTCGGCGTCAGCTTCGTTGGCTAGCTCGGCGATGATACTTCTTGCCACGGCTGCGAATGTTGCATCTCCTTCCGCAAGTTCCCAAGGGATGACGTCTGCTACGACGCCACGCTCCCAATCGTCGAGTCCGCTGAGCTCTTCCCAGTTGTCCCCGTCGGGTTCAACTCACTTGGAATCCGGATCGCCGACTTTTTAGTTTTCTTCCTTTGACTGGGCGTCCCGTAGGTATCGTTCAGGACTTCATTTCGTAATTATTCAGTATATGTAGTTTCGACACAGTAGCATTCCGTCTCAACTCGGCCTGTGTCGTCCGCTGAGTTGGTGTAACTTTTGGTGCAATAGCTGTTAATCCTCATCTGCAACTTGCACCATTTGCAGACGGTTTTCGCGCTTCTTCTGTCGTAGATAGTCAAACAGGAGACCCCCACATGACAAATTCGACAGTGGTTCCCAAGTAAGCTCATCGTAGCCGACCCACTTAACTTTAAACTTCCGTTGTGATCGTGACGTACTTGTGGATAATGGTAGCTCATCGTCGAGAATTGCTTCGACTTCATACTGGTTTGTACTTGCATCTCCGTTCTCGCTCTCCTGGTCTTGGCCATCCTCGTCGAACTGGACGGTTCGTCCCACCTCCATCGTCATGGCGATGAGTCGTTGATCCGCCGGGTCCGACCCCGCGAGAGGCGATCCTCCGGCCGTCGCTGGGCTTCCGTCGCTCGGAGTTGCTGATCCCTTGACCATCTTCACTCTTCTCTTTCTCTTCTCTTCCTCTTAACTTGGTTAGCTGGCACCTATAAAAACAAGCACACACTCCTGTTCCCGGGTCGCGGCACCAGTTGTGGTGTAGTAGAACACACAAATATCGTCAGATGTGGATTCCTTACACAAACCACAACGAATCGCCGAGTTAGGTCGGCGGTTTGTATGGCCTGCGCAGAGGGTGGTCCCCTCGCGGTCCGGCCCTTCCGGGACAGACGAGTGGCTCGCTTCCACCCGGTTCCGACTAACCAAGTCAGATCACTTCCGAGGCTCCGCCGAGTTTGGTTCGGCTGAGCTCGTTCACAACCCTGTGCCCTCCACCAAAGGATGGACGACGGCGCGCGAGCGCTTTTACAGGTCACCGAGCGCAGAGGCAGCTCAGCTAGAAGTGTTACGGCACCCGGGCTATCCGACGTACCGGCCCGCTGAGTATGCGGGACTTTCTTTCGCGCGTAGCGAGACTTTGTCCTACCCGGACCGACCTAATCTCTTGGCGCTACCAGTCAATACCCTACAAGCTATGCCTCTCGAGTATTGACGGCAGGCATAATCCAGCCCTATGCAGGGACTTACCGGAAAAGTGTACACGTGTCTTGGACTAGGAAAATTCTGCTCTGTTATCTTCTGGGAGCCCTTTCGGCTCCCCCTATTTAATCCTATGCTTCTCATACAAATATCTAATGAAATGTAGTCGTTTCGGATCTCTACCGACCCTTCAGCTGAGTTCCGGCGTCCGTTGAGCTCAGCGGCTGTCCGGATAGCATATCCGGACAGATCGCCGAGTACTTACCGTGATCCTTGGCTCCTAAGCTCTGGGTTATCAGACCGAGCCGATTCTTGACCTAAAGTAGGTCGGCGTATGGTCGAATCTGGAAAACCCTACACCACACTCTCTACAGAGACCAACTACAACAAGTGGAGGGGAAGCGACCGCAACAAGGAAGCGCTGTTAAAAGAAATCGTAGCGGAACTGAACGCGGTGGGGATTAAGCATCGGTCAACCGGAGATGCGCGAAAAAAATAACACAATTGAAAAGCAGTTTCGCGAAGCCATAGACTTCCTGGCACAAACCGTCTCAGGCATCACAAGTGAGTCGACTCTGCGAGGTGAAAGCCTCAAGTGCTGTCCCTACTTCTACAAACTGGTTGATGTGCTCGAGTCTCGCCCCTCCGCCCGTCCTCGTGTTACTTCAGACTCTATCGATGACGAAGAGAATAACATCGCACCACCAAGTGTAATCATACAACGAGGGAAGAAGCGACCGCTGGCTCTCGACGAGGAAAACCAAGATCCTAAGCAACAAAATAAAGACCCCGTTGACAGGCTGCTGGACCAGCAGAGTAAGGCGTGTAAGCAGCGAGCAGAGAAGACTAACCGTATGCTACAAATACAGGAAACGCAACGAGAGCGTCATCAGTGTGAGGTCAAGTTGGAGAAGGATCAGGCCAACGTCGATTTTGCATTGAAACAAATACAGCTACAGACGGCACAGCGTGAGGGTATTGTGTACGTATTACTAGCACGCCAAACGCTGCTGGCTGGAGGTGGTTCGTCCGCTGAAGTGATCCGGCTCCTTCCCCTTCCAGCATAATTCAAAGGGCAGTTCCGTATGGTAAGCTAGAATCGCTTGTTAAACACAAGATCTCGCAAGTACCCACGCCGTTCTGTACCCATGTTGCCATCGTAGGTCAGCGGGTCATATTCATCATCTTCTTCTTCTTCACCAGTAGACTCATGCTCAATCCGCTCAGGTGGAATTGGATCCGCAATAGTCATGTTGTGTAGGATCATACACGTCCGAATCAATTCGATTGCGTCTTTGATCTGTTTGTTTTTTCGCAGAGCACAGCGCAGTCTTTGTAACGGGGTTACATGGTATGGAACACACAGGGGTACGAAGTACCCGGAGAGTTAGCAAACTCTCAGTACATAAGTTGGAGAGTTAACAAGGTCTCTCAGTACGTTGGCTGAAAGCCACACGTTATGCATTTGATTAGGTTTAACTATGCTAGATAGTTAAAGAGATACATTTACCCCTAGGCGACTTGGCCGCAATAATAATAAATAAGACACTTCTGGTTTTGAAGCATAAAAGTTAAGGTATTAACTTTGAGCCCTGGTCTTGGGCTGTAAGTGTCCTTTGGATAAGGAGCTTAGTATTAGTGACTCTTTGAGTCGAACGTCTTCCTCTGACGCTAAAGCTACGGCAGCCCCGCTGCAGTCTTCGTAGCAGGCCTTTAAGCATGCCGATACAATGCTCCACGCGAATACGAACGACAGCCAAGCACTTGTTAAAAACTGTTTCTTTGATATCGAGCTGACCGCCTTGCGAAGTTTTGAACGCTGATACCATCACCCGCGACGACCGGTACGCCGAGTCGCCAAGTAAGTACAAGTCATCATGGAAATACGTGTCTTGGTTTAACGCAGCTTTGCAGTTTCTCCAGACACGATTGTGGCTTCAGCCCGGCCATCCTATGTTTTCGTATCGAATACGACACAAGTCGTCACAAATAACCAGCCCGTTGATAGCGTAGGCAGCTTTTCGGGAAAAGTAGTCTTCTCCATGGTCTTGTGGACGGGTCAGCAAAGGGAAAAGCGTCCCGTCAATCAAACCGATACATTTAGGCAGCGTTGGAACCCTTTGAATTCGCTCAGAGATCTCTCGTATCCAACTCTGACAACCACTATTTGTGCTTATGAAAGTTCTGAAATGGAGGATACCGCCACCGATAAGTTTGCCGTGATGGTCGCGCTTGCACACAAAAAACCTGAAAAGCTCTAGAAGAGACGGTACAGTAGTCGTAGACGAACCACTGAATAGTTTCCAAAAGAAGCACATGTCTTTGCTGGATATAATCGGACGTAGCTCACCAAACGAACATTCTCTAGGTTAAGCATCTCTTTGATAATAGAAATTGTCATCTCACTTAAGTACAATATGGAGGCTAGAGGTACATGTATTTATGACTTGGGCTCGAATGCCACTTGAGCCTTCTAAACTATGTAGAAGTATCACTATTTGGGATACCACTTCAAAGAAGAAGTATTGATACTGTAGTTTCTAAAAAAACATATTTCTGGTACAGTACTGCACCCCGTTTTCGCGGGGGTGGATCATATAGAATTTGCAAATAAATTAGATTTTAGCTGTCGAACTATAGTTCATTTAGATTCAGGATCATCACATCCGGAAGTTTATCAAAGGCCCAAGGGCGCGAAAACGGGGTGCAGTACTGTATTTAACCGGAGCGAAGTCGCGACGAATCTTCTGAAAGGCAACACCGAGACCATCACTCTCAGAATCTGATACTCCGTTCTTTCCGCCAACAATCCACACTTCCCAATTTGCCATCTACAACGCAGTCCCACCAAAAAAAAACACACACACACAACCTCGAGACAATGGCGACAACCTGCCCATGGCGAGTGACAGCGCTCGCAACGGCATCAAGTGAGCAATCGTCTAGTCCCACCCTTCAGGAAATTATGGACGAGGAATTGTCCTTGAGACTGCAGGACGAAGAGTGGGTTAAACTTGCGGCACTTGATCACAGTGACGCATTCCATGTTAAAGACAGTGGCGACGACCTTGAGGAGAAGGAACCGGCACCCGAAGCGGAATCAACAGCCCTCGACGAGTATGAAGGACAGGACTACGACGGTGAAAACGACGATTATGCTGACGTATTTGAAGATGAGAAGGGGTTCAACTCACTGATACGCCGACAGGCGAAGCTCAACAGTCATCGCGGGGATCGACCTCGGCAGAAACGGCGGTGGTGCGCACGAAGGCATGTTCGACGAGGACACACAGAGAGTTCTGCAGAAATTGGTGCGCAAAGAGCTTTTGAGTGCAGTGAGAACGCGTATATACACAGGAAGAGAAGCCAACATGTACCACAGCGTAGGACTGGACAAGGCAACAGGACAGGAACGAGGACTAGCGCTGAAGATATTCAAGACTAACAAGGGAGACTTCACCAAAGCTTCTGAACGTGACCCATCCGGCCGAAAATATGGCCTGGACTACGTCAAGAAGAGTATTCGTCGACAGCTAAAGATTCAGGCTGAGCGTGAGTATAAATATTTGTGTCGTGCAGGCGCAGCACTTAAACACAGGCCAGTCACCGTAACAGAAGAGAAGCTTGCACACGCTGGCCGCGGTCCGCGTATGCCGATGCCTCTCATCCTTCACGACCACATACTTGTCACGGAATTCGTCGGTTCAGACGGCCATGTCGCTCCTTCCCTGGCAGACGCAAAACTGAACGACACTCAACTCTGCAGCGCCTACACCGATCTTCTGCGTGCTATGCGTCGGCTGTATCAGCGCGCTCGGCTTGTTCACGCGAATCTTTCTGCAGCAAACATCCGATACTACGACGGTCAGTTTTGGATCACAGGCATTGGTCATGCGGTCGAAGTTGGTGCGGAGAACAATTTGGAACTGCTGACTCGCGACTTGGGTAACCTGGACTCGTTTTTCCGCTCGAGTGGTGTCCCCGCGGTGGCGAAGCGCCGCGTCGGACTCGTTTGTGTGGACGTAGCCAAGGAATACGTTGTGACGGAGTCCCCTGAGCAGCTGCTGAGGCGCTTTCCTGTACTGGAGCCGCTGCTACGTAACTGAACTGAAGATGGTCATTGCCGTGGAGTGGACTTCACTGGAGGTGGAGCCATTGGACCCCAATTTGGAGCTCGTGCTCAACTTGACAGTGTCGACACGCAACTGTGTAGGACGGAGAGTGAGCGGCGTAGGACAATCCGAATCATAAGTAACTTGAGGTCAGCTCATCAAGCTCCAACGTGTTCAAGCACTCCGCCGACCCAACTTGGGAGGATACACTCAAATTGTTGACAGGGCATCTCGTTTTCAAAACTACCTCAGCAAGTGAGTGAAGCATAACTGGTACAGGTACTGCACCGGTATTTTCGTTGACTTCGCTGAAACTTCCGGATGCTGTAATACAGCATCCGGCCTGTATGCCGGTACCATTGTCGCAATACTGGTTCATGAAATAGCTAATAGCTAAACAGTGTTTCATGGAATACATAGCGATTAATAAAAAGCGAGCTCGCGGGTGAGTGAGTAGAGAACTTTAGTTTCTGGAATAACGCAGGGATAGATTACCGATCGATATTCCTTTTGGAATAACGCGACCTTCTATTCCACTGGAATATATTTCTGAACGGGTTTTTCAATTTTTGGTATTTTCGTTGACTTGCCACATTGAACAGAACCAGAACGGCAAATTTGGTCGCTACCGGTACTGTACAGTACTGTATGACATGGACAACTCGGATTCTTCCACTGCTTCAATTCTGCTTCGGTGGTCGGTCGTGACCCCGTTGATTCGCCGATGCATTGGAGTAGTCGCGTGCTTTGGTACTAGGTTGTCGACGACAACTTGTCGCTGCTCTCGTTTGACCACTGCTCTCACCTGTCGATGGTGAAGCATACTGGTAATAAGAGTGAGCTAGAAGTACTAAGACTGAGTACTACATGTGCATGTAGCTTAGTACTACTAACTTAGTTAAACTTGTTGAATGTACACGACTTAATACTACTTGTTGAACGTACTGTACACGACTTACTACTATTGTACTCGTTACAAGTCCTTGGTAGCCATCTGTTATAAAGATTCAGCAACCCAAGTCCTATGACAACAGTTAGATTTAAGGGGTAAAATCGGGCGTAGATTTTAAAAAAGGTGGTCAGAATTAGCTGATTCGCAGTCGTTTTTGCGCTACAAGACTATTTCTAAACTCTTTCCAGATGCCCCAGATTTACGGGAAACGGGTTGCCTTTGAGGCGGTCATTTGATTAGGCAATTCCCAAAACCACATGGATTTGCGCAAGAAAGTACAGTGCAAGGAAAAAACAATTTTTTTATTTAAACAGGCACCTTATCCATCGCTTTGCTGGGGCGTAATCACGCTTCCTTCCGCGTTGATTTCACATATAAAATAATAGAGGTTAACGTTAAATAGCTGATAAGGAACATGCACCGCTAAATGGCTGATGTGCACCTCAAACTTGGTCTCGTTGTCGGCTCTGTAGGTGCTCGTCACAGTCGTAACAGTGCCGTGTGCTATCTGTAGACACTCAGCAACCAGGTCCCGGGTTCGCTGCCCTCTGAAGAGGCCATCTTCCTTAGCTTTGAACATGAAGTCTAAGCACCGTACTACGTAATCCTTCTGGCCTGGTGCCAGCTCTTGCTGCGAGGTGCTTGGCTCAGACATGTTAGTAAGGACGCAAATAGCTCACTAGATGCACGAGATGCTAAGGAACATTTACGTAGGCTCCTTGTTCTATTTTGGTGCCAGCTCGAGAAGTTTCGCCTTTTCAAATGGCATGTTAAAATAATCTGGTCCAACGTTCATTGACGAGTACAATACTAACTGTTAGTACTAAGTCGTGTACATTCAACAATTTTGTTAGTTTTGAACATTATTGTTGAAAGGATCGCTTCAACATGTCGACGCATGCAAATCTCGGCGGCTGTCGGCATTTCATCTATCCTTGCTATTGTTGACAAGCCAAGTCGCCTTTGTCTCGTAAGTTTGTGGCTGTCTGTGGACCACCAGCACTTTTGCCTGCCGACATAGCTCTCACTAACGTCATTCTTGAACTCGCCTCGTCTCGCCAACCTCGAGCATGGCGGACTACAACGCCCTCAAGACTCCGGAGGTCAATGCAGGCAGCCCGAGGAGCAAGCCTCCGGTCCAGGATGCTGCGCAGTCCCCTGCTGTCCATGTTGTCCGCTTCTTCATCGTGCTGGGCATCGCTACCTTCATCTTCGGCAACATCGCCACCTGGGCGCCGCTATACGAGCTGAACTTGGTGAACACCATGATGGAGTGGTGGAACGGCTACCCCGACATGCCTGCCATGAGTGAAGGCCACAGTCACTTGCTCTTGGATACGGGTATCGGACGCAACATCACCGAGTCTGGCCACACCGAGATGATCCGTCCCACCTTTCTCTTTATCTTTTGCATCTTTCCATTCATCGTCAGCGTCTTGCTCATTGAGTACCTGCGCCACATCAACACGGCTCGGCGCTTGACCTCGACGTTAATCTGGCGCTTCGCAATGCTCATGCGTCGTAAGCCCAAGTTCCCCGTTCTTGGGGTCTCCCGTTTCTCGGTTGGCGAATGGATCTTTGGTGTCGTCTACGTGCTCGGTGGCAACGCTCTGTGCTGGTGGTACGAGTGGGACCGTCGAGTTGACTCGGCAACTAAAGCTGGTACGCTCAACACCTCCAAGTACTGGAATATCATCGGTATCAGTTCCGCCTACCTGTGCATCTACAACATGGCGTTCCTACTGCTTCCTGTCACAAGAAACTCTGGCTGGATGGAGTTCTTCAACATCTCGTACGCTAACGGCGTCAAGTTCCACCGCTGGATCGGATTTATGACCGTCATTACGGCTGTGGTGCACATGCTCGGCTACTGGGTCAACTGGGTCCGGTTGGGCACGTGGGAGGTCAACCAGCTCCCGTGCACGAGCTGCGACTTCACACAAGACAACTCAGGCGGAGGCTACTATGCCTGGTTCAATGTATTTGGATTCATCTCCACTCTCGCTCTCGTGCTCTTGGTCCCAACTTCCTTCCCCATCATCCGTCGCAAGGCGTACGAGTGGTTCTACATCACGCACTGGGTGCTGTTCGTCATCGCTGTGCTTTTCGCGATTTTGCACTGGGCTCAGATCATCTGGTGGATTCTGCCCTCGGGTTGTGTGTGGTTCGTTAGCCGAGCTGCTTCAAGCTGGAATGCCATGACCCCCGTCGTCGTCAAGGAATTCTCAGTCATCGGTGGAGGCGACGACGAGTTGGTCAGGATTGTTGTCAAGCGTGCCGCTCCCGGAACGTCTCCTTCGTCGTCGTCCTACGACTACAAGGTCGGCAACTTTCTGTATCTGAACGTACCGAAGATCTCGAAGCTCGAGTGGCACGCGCTGACCATCGCGTCGTCCCCGAAGACGAGTCCCACGGACGTCGTTCTGCTGGTCAAGCCTCTTGGCGACTGGTCAAAGAACCTGGTACAGTATGCAAAGGATTGCAACCATGACAACATCACGCCACAGATGTACGTGGATGGCTTCTACGGCGCATCGTTGGAGCTGTATGAAGACTACTCTACCGTGTGCTTGATTGGCGGTGGTATCGGAGTGACTCCCGTGCTGGCCATCCTGGACGACCTGGCTGCCAAACTATCGGCCAACGGTGCCCGGTGGACCCAGCGTTTCGCATTCATATTCGCGTTCCGTGAGCTCAGTGTGTTCCAGACTGTCGCGCCCGTGCTGGCTAAGCTTCGCGAATTGGACCCGAACGAGCAACTCTTCCACACGCATCTCTTTGCAACTGGCACCTACTCGGAGGTCGACCTTGCGCAGAAGCTGGAGACTTCGCCTGCAAAGGACATTATGGACACGGCAACGAACAAGTCCACTGGTCGAGCCGCTCGCCCTTTCTACGAGCCTTTGCGTTCGAGCAACACGATGCGTTTCGTCATGTACTTAGTGCTGTACGTGGTTGCTATCGCTGTTGTGTTCGCTGTTCGATGGGGAAATGGTGTTATTCAGGGAGCCAACCACTTCGAGCTGTGGCCGCTCGAGCGCGCCTTTGAGCTTGCAATGTTCTGCCTTACGATCATCGTAGTGTACGCCTTCGTATACTACGAGTACGTCATGTTTCGCCGTAACGGCGCGACAACGGAACAGACGCCTGTGTTGGCTGAGACTCCACTAACGAACTTTGCTGCGTTTGGAGGCGACGTTCACTCGGTCGGTGACCTTATTAACCACCTTAACGTTGTAGTGGGCGAGCGGCCGAACATGCAATCGCTGCTGCAACAGACGCTAGCAGTCCACAAAATGGACGACAGCTCGTCGAGTTTGCTGCCTGCCGTTGGCGTTATGGTGTCTGGTCCTCCGACGCTCAAGGCGGCGACAAATGAGGCCGTGTACGCCCTCGGTGGCGGCAACTTCGACGTCCACGAGGAGGAGTTCGAGCTGTAAGCATATTCGTAGCCACTGACTTCGTATTAAGAGAACCACAGTATGATAGGCGACATTGGTCCAGAATCTAGAAAGGCATAAGAGGTCTGCATTTAGGAAAACATATATCGACATTTAGATATAGGGTGCAATCATGCGTTTAGATTTCGATTTTGTGGTAAATTTTAGCCAATTCTTAGCCGTTTTGGAGCTACAGTCGTTTAAAAATGCCCTCTCAGAACACGGGAGAAAGGCGCGCCAAATCCACAGATATGATTGGTCTAGAATTAAAATCATATGTCAAAAAGGAAGATGACACATCGCCCGGTCGCAGATTGCCCTTGTCAATTTAACATTCAATTCTGCCAGCAGGATGGTAGAACAAATTATAAAGGTATTATACATGGATTTTGTTTTGTTTTTATCATCTACTGTTCTAGTTCCTTCTGGGCTTTGTACAAATATTAGTTTGAAAAGTAAATGTTACAATATCAGTTATAATTAATATACCTCAAAATAAGTGTCTGAGTTATTCTTTTTCTCATTAACCACGGAGTCAACGGTATTGGGAGCACGACCAAGGCAATCAGAGACCAGTTGGCGTGTCCTGATGCCTTTGAAGAGGCCTTGTTCCTTCTGGCTTTTGAAATACTCGTAGCTGTTCACAATCACCCGCTTCTCTCCTGGGCAGAACTCGTGCTTGCCGGACATTTGCGCTGACCTTAAAGGATGCTTCTGGCTAATTGATGAGTGCTACCGCCCTCTCAAGACACTAAGTTATATATAGCACCTTTATTTATATTAAACAGACAATTATTAGACTTTTTACAGTCTGTATAGTATGGGTTACAATTTCTGGCCCAATGTTCAATGTCGCCTACAATACCGGTACTGTAGAACTAATAGCCTAGAAATAGGATCCTGCTAACGTCACAATGAGTTAACCATGTTGAAGCCGGCTGTCGACAATCGTCTGCTCCGAAATCCGATACGCAGTAAAACCTTTCCTTTCTGATATGACCCGTGGACGACTCCTATATACTACGTAGTATTTATGTATGTCGTCTTCAGTAAACAGGTCATTGCTACCAGCGTTGTGCCAATGTGCATTGAGTAATTGATTGAGATTTGCTTGGACGCCACAATTATAATTGCCCAATGTCGACATTGTATTGCTCACTCATACAGCCTCACTACTCCTGCCATCGACTACAACGCCATGTCTACCACAAGCTCCGGTTAGCCTTTAAAAACACTAGCATTTCCAGTGTCGCCGGCCTCATCGCTCGCCGCTGATCAGTGAGAAAGAGCTTCGACAGAGAGAAAAGTCTCTCACAAATGCTGGATGTAGGTGGAATGAAGTTGGTGTCGATGTACATCTCCTTGGGTCCTGTCAGGCGGCGGCGCTTCAAGGCCTGCTTCGCAAAAGAGATGTTGTCTTCGTCATTACTGCTCTCCTTGTTGTCATTTGTTGCTAGGTCGTTAGTTATGGGAGAAAGAAGTCGAACAGAGGCTGCCTTCTCAGCAGCAGTCAGTTTCCGGCCCGACTGAAGCTTGACGACAGCCCGTTCAAATACTGCGTTATTGACAATCGAAGCGTTCGCACTCAAGTACTTTTTCATCGACGGGAAGCTCTCAATTGTGTGCTCGAAAAGCTCGCGCGCATCGAGCATAGTAAGTGTCTCGCTCTGCAGCTCCACCGTCACACTGTCCAGCTTTTGAAGATCCTTAAGCAGTTCTGACACCTCCATGGCTTCAGCTGCTGATAGCATCAGCTTGTCGACACCGCATTTTACAGCGTTTTTCGTGCTCAGCTGCCGGAGAGCTGGGATCAGCTTATCACATCGCTTCAGCATCTTCATTGCGCTGCTCCAACGCGTCTCGTTCTTAATCTTTGGGTTTACACCAGTCACTGACGCCAAGCACGCACGTCCTTTTACTGTTGACAACTTCAGCATGAGTTTGTTGGCCTTGTTGATCAAGTATTTGTGATCCTCTAGAAACATTTGAACAGCTAGGTTGTACCTATGACTAGCACAGCCGACAAAAGGAATGCCACCGTTATCTCCGAGGTACTGGTTCACCGAGCAATTATCCCCGACAACGAGCAACACGCTAGCCCAGGGACGCGAAAATTCACAGAGCGTGTCAGCCAAGAAGTCACTCATACTTTGTGCACTTAGATCACTCTCATCTTCCAGGGGGGACAGGGCGAGCAGCACTCGGCCTTCAGGTTAAGAGTCCGTTGCAGTAAAGACAGCGAAAAGCCCAACGTAGTGGACACCAGCCGTAGTCCAGCCGTCAAAAACGAGGCCAAAGGAGTATGGGAGATGCTTCCGGATATACTCTTCCACCGTCTTCATGACCGCAAACATGTGAACCTTCAGTGTACGTCTCGATACGCGTGGCAGCTTAGTACATGCACGAGTGTGAAGGTCTTCACAAAAACTGATAGGTAGAAACTTCATGACTATCCAGTTGGCCCACTTGTTTAGCGAATCGTTCTTGTCCACGCTAAGAACGCAGTTATATTCGGCTGGAGTGTTCCGTTCGCATTAGTGAGACCTTCGTAGCCCTTGTGTACCGCCTTCAGGTGCTGCATCAGGTTGGAATAGCCCGACTTGATATCTTGCTGGTAAACTTTGCCACAGATACAGTGGTGGTATCCGCCGTCGACTACATCAGGCTGGAACCAGGCTTGGTAGATGATCCGGCTAGGCACCGCCATGGCTTAGAGCTGGGCGAGCTAACCGAGAGTGAATTCAGGAGCCGTACGCTGCGTTATGACTCAGACCTGACGTCCACCATTGCTTTTGCGGTGACCGTTTAGTGAACCGAGGTGGACTGGGGCTTGCACAACCCAACTCGTTGCAGCCACCAATCCAATTTTCACATTGAGGTGCAATAAAAATCATTGGGATGGACATTTTTTAATGAAATTATTGCAATTAAAATTGGCACAACGCTGTTTGCTACAGTTAGAAAGTCTGTTTTAAGACCAAAATCCGCGTATATGAGCGAGGTGAGGAAGCATGCCGGCTTAGAGAAGCAGTCAATGCAAAAGTTCTTCGCTGTGCCATACTGAAACTGCCTATATGGATCTAAGTAAGGTAGTCTCTCTTGGACTCACGGATAAGCAATTATGAAACTCAATTACATGAAATGATGATCATTTTCAGATAGATGTATTTTTGTGTTTTCGTAAGATTCGGCGGTAGGTTGCCCCACCCCTCTTATCATAAAAAGACAACGAAGGAGCAACGTTATTAATAAAGCAACGTTATTAATAAACATGAGCTCCAGAGCAACAACAATACTTTGAAGTGTGACTTGAAATGGCGACGTCGTTTAGTTCGAGGTTCCGTCGCGGCGGCGGCGCTGCTTCTACTAAAGGCGGCAGAGATGAGCGTGTAGGTGAAATGTTGAGCGACAGCTCAGATGATGGCTCCCCTCTGGGTGGGGACGTGCGGCGCAATGCAGCGAACAAGCCGACACCCAGTCGCTCAAACGACAGCTCCCTACGATCTTCAAGTGCATCTGAAGGTGATGTGGTGACTCCTCGCAGTAAAGAAACTAAAGCGGGGAGTATGAAGAGGGAATACATCGATACCGAAAAGGACGCAGTGGCTGGGGAGAGCAAGAAAAGACACGATGAACCGCCCAAAAAGCTGGAGAAACCTGAGAAGAAGACGATTGGGTCGCTCGCCAGGAGCCAGAGTAGTCGCACTGCAACATCGATGAAAAAACCTGCTGGGAGGAAATGGTACAGTGACTCGGATGAAGAGGAGGAGGAGAAGACGGCCAAGAATAAGCCCGTGAAGGAAGATATTGTTAAGACGAGCGGCCGTGAGGATTTGGATCTGGACGCGTATATTGCAGGATCTGTGGTGGATCCACCTGGAAGGAAAAAGAATAAATCTGTACCAATTTCTAGGAAGCAAGAGCGATCTCAATCTAAGCAATTGAGCGATCGCAGAGAGGGAGAAGTGGGTACCGCGGGAAACGAGTCGGAAAATACTGAAAATGATGTCGAGCCTCCAGCTGCACGTCACGCTGCGAAGAAGATGAACATGCTGAAACTTATGACAAAGACAAGAACGATGTCTCCGTTTGGTAGCAAGAGAAAGGGATATGAGGCTGAAGCTCCGGAGCCGACCACCGCTAGTCCAGCGGCTGGGAAGGCTAAACGAGGCACAGCTTCTAGCTCGGAGCACTCAACGGCTGAACCTCCACCTGCCACTAATACGGTTGCTGGGCGACCCACGGCGGTGCAGACGGGAGGCGCTGAGATTGCCCCCACGATCATTGTGAACCGCCGCACAGACCGACTGAAGCACTCTGTCAACGGCTCCGAATACAGTGGCTCTCCCAGACTTGCTGCTAGCATCAGCGATGAGGTCCTGAGTCCAGGTCTGCGGAAAGTACCCGGAGCGTTTGCTGGTAGACCTGGCAGTGGAGTATTGCTAGAAGGATGGCTACGACAGAAACAGCGTCGTGGAATAAAGGGACTTAAGAAATGGAACTCACGCTACTTCGTGCTGTACGCAAGATCGAACGAGGTTCGGTACTACGCAGATGTGGTCCAGTCTGCGTGGGGTCCCATCCCGCTTGGTGAGATCGGATCAATTTCGTTGCGGCTTATTCAGCGCATCGGGAAGCTTAGCCACCCAAAGTATAAAGGTTGTCGCTTCGACATCACATGCCGCAATAGCTGGGGAACGCACTATGCTGACGACTACGTGTCCTCAGATGAAGAGAACGCGAACAGTAACAACAACGTCAGCACCAACTCGAACAATGAGAAGGCGACCGCTTCCACTCCTGCTAAACAAGAAAAGAGCGGCACTCCGAAGTCTTCTCGGGTCTATAGCCTAGTAGCTGATTCACCACAGGTCACGGTGGCATGGGTGAATATGCTGGACTCGCTCTTAACGCGAAGTGCCAACAGCCCACGACCTGACGTCGACTCCCCAGTTGAAAATCCCAGAGCGAAGAAGTCTCGAGCTGTTGCACGACAGCGACCAAGTGCTCTGGACACAGAGTCGTTGGTGCTCCTGGGACCTGGAGAACTTGTACCGAAAGCTATCATATTTGCCATCAACTTCATCTTCGACTCGACGCCAGGGATCGAGACCGAGAAGTTCTACGAAGTTGAGCCTGATGCCAGTAAGCTAAAGGTAAGTCGTCGACGCCTCTCCTTTTGTGGTTTGCTGTCATCTGACGATATTTTCCGTGGATGTTTTTGTCCAGGCTGCCCTCAAGTTTCTGAACGAGTTTGCGGGTGAGTCCGTGACCCGCAAACCAACGAAAGACGAGTTGGAAGAACTGCTGGATACCATTACCGCTGGTGCTGTCGTACGACTGTGGTTAAGCCAGCTCGAGCAGCCTCTGATCCCATTCACCATGTACGACGACTTCGTAGCACTCGCGCGTGAGGCGCAGTCTACACCCTTCGACCTACGGCGGAATCTCCGCGCATTGCTCGAAGCTCTGCCCAAGAAGAATCTGTACGTCCTGCTTCTAATACATTCAATAACGATGGAGCACTAATTATTATGTGTGTTTTTTAACCTACAGTATCATGCTGGCTTGCCTGCTCTTCCACCTGAACGACGTCAACGTGTACTCGTCCAAGAACGGCATGGACGCTGCAAGACTCGCTCATCTCTTCGCCGATTTCATCCTGCGTCCTCAAAAGAAATCACCACACGCTGGCAACTCCAACGAAGACGTCGCTGCTGTTTGTCGACTGGTGGAAGAGATGATCACCAACGTTGACACTTTCATCGACGAGAAGGAAGCTCAACTTTTGGAGGACAACCGACTTTAACAACGACCCAAAGCTCTGTAAAGTCACTGACTAATCGACTGTCTACATTCTCAGCTCTGCACTTTCATGTACACGATGTGCTTGCCCGGGACGAGCGTCATGCCGAGCGAGCGGCTGCCGGGGGGCAGCAGGAGGCCGGCAAAACGCGACTCCTCCTCCTGGTCGCGGGCTCCCGCCTTAACCTTGCTGTTCTTGCCAAGTCCTACGCGCGTGGGTGCAAACTCGCGCGCATCCTTGAGGATCACGTTCTGGTGCTTGTCAAAGCAGTGAAAGCGGCCTACGATCACGCGGCCGTCCGAGATGCGTAGTCGCACAAGCGACCCCAACACCTTCATGATCTCTAGCGTCGGCTCACCCACCGAAACCGTGTAATCCGCATGCTGTGTCTGCTCCACGTCCGCGTCATTTCCCACTCGTAGCGTCACCTGCGGCTGTCCGTTAAGCGACAGCACCGCAGGCGTCTTGGCTAGCAGCCCCATCATACTATTTTGACTCGCCCCCTAAATGTTTTTTTATAAAATTAATTCAGAATTCTGACAATAGAACGCATTTTTGTTGCCTCATAAAAAAACTAGCACAAAATCAGTACATGTACATTTAAGTACACAAAATCAAAAGCCTGTGCAGACAGCGGACTCGCTACTAGTACGTCGGCTTGATCGAAAGCTGAGGTGACGCAGGGCGCGTCACTGAACTGCTCTCTAAGCGTAGATCACTTCTTAGCGTAGGTGCCATTAGAATAGACTTACACTTAAGTAGTAAAGCAATCAAAAGAGGTACGTAAACACAGTGAGTGCCGGGCAAGAGGCCACGACAGGGCTGAACTGCTCTCTAAGCGTAGATCACTTCTTAGCGTAGGTGCCATTAGAATAGACTTACACTCAAGTAGTAAAGCAATCAAAAGAGGTACGTAAACACAGTGAGTGCCGGGCAAGAGGCCACGACAGGGCTGCAGTACTGGTGTGGGCTTCCTCTTCTCTCTGGGGTTTGCTGAACCGCAAATTGAGTTGTGAGAGAGAGATCAAGCCTCACGAAAGGCAGTACGCCTCTCCGCAAGTTCTATTGGATACATAAACTAATATAAACAATACTTTACCTAAGTCAGTGTCGTCGTGAGCAGCACGGCGGCACGGTCGCTCGAGTCCATCGATCATAGTAAACTTGGTATAACCACACGCACCCGCACGTGGTACGTCGGTAAGTGCGCAGCCGCAGGCTGCAGCAACATGCGTAGGATAGGATGTAGGATCGGCTGTCAGTTTCAATGCCAGGCACTGACAGTCCACTTGTATGTACTGCTGGTGCTGGCCTCTTCACACAGGGGCTGGCATCTCACACTCACACTTGATCTCGGCAATACAGCGCCTTGATTGACGCGATCACACACAAGACTTCACAGGTTGAAGTCGCTGCCCCATAGCTCAAAGTCGTAGGCCAGCAGCACAGTAGTCCGTACAGCAAACAGCATGCCACAGTCAACACCGTCCTCATCCATAGCAGTTTCCCTCACATCCGAAGTCGGAGCGTCCGTTGTCAACACAGGTGCAGCACGTGTAGTATCGTAGTAGAACTACGCAAGACAGGTGCAACCTTCTTGGCTTTTCCAGCACACCATCGCACTCAAACACACTGTAGCTGTCGCGTTTGGCCAACGCAATCGCTCACTCTTCTCGCATTTGTCCTAGTCCTTCGCAATCTGACAGAGTTCAATCTCTGACTAGTCCGTTCGTATTGCAGCAATAGCAGTCGTAGCAGGAGACGCAGCCATAGCAGCCGTAGTAGAAGCCGCAGGCTCCGTAGAGGTAGTAGTATCGTCCGAGGAAACCACTGGCAACACCTTCATTGCTTGACGAAAGCGAGTGAGCTTCACCACCGCAAGTGGCTTGGTCATGATGTCCACGACCATCTGCTCGGTCCCAATGTGCGGCGTAGTGAGCATTTTCAGCTCCACGTTTCGTCTCAGCATATGATACTTGTTGTCTATGTGCTCAGACTTGGAGTGCTTTCCAGGCTTGGTGGTCAACGAGATTGTTCCCTCGTTATCACCCAACAGTAATGGTACTGGATGCTTCCAGGCCAGTTCCTCACAAAGGCCCGCAAGCCACAGCACGTCTTTGGTGGCTTCAGCCATCGCCACATACTCCGCTTTCGTACTCAGGGAGTTAATCTCCTGCTTTCTTGATGTATACGATATCACGTTACCGTCAAGCGTGTACACATAACCGCTGATGCTTCTTCTATCCACAGAATCATTCGCATAGTCGGCATCTGAGTAGCAGCGTACACTTGCAGTAGTTCCCTCAGGTACGTTCATCACCAAACCGTAGTCACACGTAGCCTATAGATACCTAAGTACCCTCTTAGCTTGTGCGTAGTGTGTGTGGTCGTAAGACGCCTGGAACTTGCCAAGATGTCTCGTTGCATGCGCAATGTCAGGCCTCAACGCGTTCACTAGGTACTGAAGTGCACCCACTAGCTCACGGTACGGCAGATAGTCCTTTGTCGCAGGTACAGTAGTCTTAGACAGTACAGTAGCCTCAGGAGTAGTACATCCGTTGCAATCCGACATGTGGAAAGGCTTAAGTACTTCCAGCACATATTGTTTCTGACAGTATACAATCTGTCGACTTGGTCTGTCGATCAGATCTCGACACCAAGTAAGTACTTGACAGTACCCATCGTAGTCAATTCGAAGGTTTTTTGCAGTGCAGCTGCAATCTTGGCGCACAGGTCTCGAGGTCCCAATAGTAGTAGGTCATCCACGTAGACAGTCAATAGCAGCTTAACTTCACCCTCTTCCTTCAACGTATACAACCCATAGTCTGAGTCCCTACGCTCAAAGCCCAATGTAACCAACTTCGCATGTAAAGTCCGGTTCCAAACATTGGGCGCCTGCTTCAATCCATAGAGGCTCTTCAAAAGCTCGCATACAGCGCTTGGTCCATCAATTTGGAACCCAGGCGGCTGCTCCATGTATATCATCTCGTCGAGATCTCCGTACAGGAACGCTGTCTTCACGTCGTACTGGAGTATCTCCCATCCTCGCTGCACAGCAAAGTAGATGGCCGCACGAATAGTCTCAAAGTGAATCACAGGTGCATATATTTCACTTTAGCTGATGCCGAGCTGTTGCTTGAATCTGTGGATGACGAGACGAGCTTTGAACCGCTTGACACGTCCACGCTCATATCGTTTCACCACGAAGACCCATCGACATGTTATCACCTTGACACCTTTCGCCTTTCTCCGCGGTACAAGTCGCCAGATCTTGTGCTTCTTCGGCGACGCCAGCTCTGCCAGCATCGCGGCCCGCCACTGGTTCCAGAATTTATTCTTCCGTTTCTGCTTGTATGCTGTAGGAATGCCCACGTCCATGCCATGCGCTATCACTTGGCCCACCACGTAGTCACTCAATCGTACGTTTTCCTTCTGCGTCCTTCTCGGTAGCTTCAGACATGGCTCGACTGGCGGTCTTGGATTGCAAATTCAGTGTCTTCCTTCACGGTTTTTTTTTCGCGCCTTGCGCTTGCGTCTCTTTGTCACCTTCACCGGCTCAGGTCCCTTCTCAGGTGCAACCTGAGGGTCAGCAGACCTCTCCACATCCTGCTGTTCGACGCTCAACGAGTCATCATGCTCTGCACTCCCATTGGACTTTTGTTCTCGGTCCACAACTTCTAGAAGTTCGCCTGTCTTGCTCATCGGCACAGAGCCATTATCCTCTGTAGCGTAGGTCTCTATACTCGTCTTAATTCTCACCACTGATGGCTTCTCCGGCAACACGTGCAGCGTGTCCAGGTACGCATTCTCCAGTAGTCGCTTCATGTAGACTCCATCTACTGTAAACTCCTCGTGAAAGCGGCAATTCTCGCTCTGCGCAGTCTTCACCTGACAGGTCAATAGGTCTAGAAACTTGTAGCCCTTCGTAGAGTCGCTGTAGCCGAGTAATAGACACCTTTGTGCCCGTGGCTCAAGCTTCTCCTTTCTCTGTCTTGACTCAGGTGGTACTCGCATATGCGCAATACAGCCCCAGATTCGCAGCATACTCAGGGGCGGCTTCCGTCCATACAGCTTCTCGTGCGACAAAGTCATTCCCAACATCTTGGTAGGTAGCATGTTTAGTGTTTTCTCCATGTGCAGCAAAGCTTCTCCCCACAGCATGTTCGATAGATGTGTTGCTGTCAGCAGCGCTCGCACACGAGGCAGCACAATGCCGTTCGCCCTTTCTGTGATCCCGTTTTCTTGGGGAGAGTACGCGTTCGTGAACTGCTCCACGATGCCGTGTTCAGCGCAGTACTCATGCAGTTCTGTTCCAGCGAATTCACCACCTTGGTCCGACCGAAGATGCAACACCTTGCAGTCTTTGTGATGCGTCTGCAGCTCCTTTAGCAGCTTCAAAATGAACCAGGTAGCTTGACCCTTCTTCTCGAGTAGATAGGCCCACTTATTTCTCGTAGCAACATCCACAATGAACATGAACATAGTAGCCTTGCTTGCCGTCTCCACATTCATCGTACATATGTCCATAGCCAGAGTTTCAAACGGCTTAGTCGAGCGAACAGGAAGACGTTTGTGACTCATGGATTTTGTCTTGCTCACAACACAGGCAATACATTCGTAGGTGTTCAGATCTTTCGTGTTGAGTTTTACCCCCAAATCCATCTTATCAGCCATCACCTGGAGCAAAGCCATGTGTAGATGGCCAAAACGCTGATGTAATAGCTCCATCGTCTTCTTGTCTTCTACAGCTAGCTTGCTTAGCCATAGCCATGACCATCATGCCGGTTGCCTTTTCACTTCGCAGCCGGTAGAGGTTGTCTCGCATCTCAAACTTTAGGATGGTGCCTGGTTTCCCGACATCCACGCCGTCTTCTGGTCCATAGAACACATCAGCCTGTAGTTGCCTGTAGTCTGCAGGTATCCCATACTAATCAAGTTGACCTTGGCATTCGGCGTGTAGACTACATCGTCCAGCAGACGATCCTCGCGCTCACCAGTTGCTT